TCAATTGATGCAGAAAAAGCATTTGATAAAATACAACATCCCTTCATGATTAAGACCCTCAGCAAAATCAGCATAAAAGGGTCATTTCTATTTTTTTTTTAGAGAGGTTTTTGCTATAGGGTGCGTGTGCTCGCCAGAGAGACAGAGAGACAGAATGCGAGAAATCACCCCCCAGGGGGGATGGCCACGTCACAATCCCTTCTCCTCCATTCTCCTCTCAGGATCTTGGGCAGGCATGCACGCACACGTGCCCAGCGTGAGTTTAAGCCACCGGGTCCGGGACATGAACTGCGGTCCACTACGTGGGAGTCCAGCGACATAGCCTTTACGCTAACTGCTGGTCCCCCAAATAGATTAATTTTTAATGACTTTAAAACTTCCTTTAAGGGGACTTGCTGGGTTAGAAAGTTCCAAGCTGACAGTTCTCAACATTGAAGAATATCTAGAGCCTGTAAACCTTTTACCTGGCATGCTGCCCCTCATGAAATCCCAGCTTCAATCTTGCCTTATTTCCTCAGCCTTCCCATCTGGGAGTCCAGCAACATAGCCATTACACTAACCACTGGTCCCCAAAAAGGGTCATTTCTTAACATAATGAAAGTTATCTGTGAAAAAACCATTGCTAACATCATATTGAATGGGGAAATGCTGAAAGCTTTTCCACTAGAAACTGGTACAAGACAAGGCTATACCAGTTCCTACACTCCTCTTCAATATAGTGCTGGAATTCCTAGGCAATGCAATCAGAAAAAGAATGAAATAAAAGGCATTCAAATAGGAAAAGAAGAGGTGAAATTGAATTTATTTGCAAATGACATGATTGCATACATAGAAGACCCAAGGGTATCCACAAAATAACTCCTGGAAGTAATAAATTAATACAGTAAATTGGCAGGATACAAAACCAACATACAAAAATCTATAGCATTTCTATATACGAATAACAAGCAGACTGAGATAGAATTGCAGAAAGTAATCACATTTACCATAGCCACAAAAAGTATAAGATACCTAGGAATAAATCTAACCCAAGAAGTCAAAGACCTCCACAAGGAAAACTATTAAAAGTTAAAGAAAAGTAATAAAAAAAGACAAAAGTTTGGAAGAATATCCCATGTTCCTGGATTGGAAGAATTAATATAATCAAAATACAATTCTACCCAAATTAATCTACATATTTCATGCAATCCCAATCAAATTATCAGAGACATTTGTCACAGATCTAGATTCACAATCTTCTAGTCTGACTAGATAGATTTTTTAGGACCAGTGATCTTTGGAGTTTTTACTGCAATTGCTCTAATTGAACAGATGTTCAGAATACAACTATAAAGTCATTTAAAATGTCATGCTTTATAGTGAGATATCTCCAATTCCTTTGTGATAGAATGACATGTTTTGGAACTGGACTTTAATATAAAACCAACTTTGGGGCATGGTCTTCTATCAGTATTTAAAGATCTTCACAAACAGCTTGCGGAAAGGGCTTGGCGAAGGTTTGAACGGTTTGTACCATGTCAGAAATGGTGGAACTGTCCCAGCTGTATGAAGAGAGCAGTGATCTGCAGACGGATGTGATTCCTGGCGAAGGTGACCTTCCCCAGATGGAGGTAGGCAGCGGGGGCCGGGAGCCATCCTTGGGGTCCTCTCGCAAGGGGGCCCGGCCACAGCTGGAGGAGGAAGGCCCAATGGAGGAGGAGGCCCAGCCAATGGCGGCGCCAGCGGGGAAATGGGGCCTTGCCAACGGGACCAAACCTGGGGGGCAAGGCGGGTCAGTTTGTGGGTACGGACTTCGAGAGCGAGGAGAGGAATTTGATGACTGGGAGGATGGGGAGGACGACTATGACTCCCCGGAAGAGGAGCCGCTGAGGGGAGCCGGCTACAGAGTATCGGCGGCCCTCGAAGAGGCCAACAAGATGTTCCTGAGAACATCCAGAGCAAGAGAGGCAGCTCCGGATGGCGGGTTTCAGATGCATTATGAGAAGACCCCGTTTGATCAGTTGGCTTTTATTGAAGAGCTCTTTTCACTTATGGTTGTCAATCGTCTAACCAAAGAACTCAGCTGTCATGAGATTATTGATAGAGAGTAATTTAAATACTGTTAAAAGAGGATGAAACTACTTGAGGAGAGACCCAACATTCCACTGTCTTTGGGGTTCATTCCAAATGGTTCTGTGCCAATGAAAAACTTGATTAAAAAAAAAAGTTTTTGTTTTTCAGAATAGAAGGCAATAGAACAGTGCACAGTTCTGAAAAAGGAAGAGGATCATTAAAGAAATAAAGGATTTTAAGATGATTGAAATCTGTTTTCAAGAATGTCCTAAAATACCTGTGGCATTATTTTATTGACCCAGATTATTTTCTGTGTATTGGGGAAAATACCTTTTGTATGTGTTTTATTGTAAAGAAGGCTTCACAAGGAGAAATCATGACCAACAAAAAATGGCCAGTACAAGAGCCCATGATACTAACTTTATAATGAGAACAGAATATTCAACAAAGACACAAGAGTTATTTGGAAGCAAACCAGTTGAGAAAACGGAAAATTCCCCTTTGTGATTGATTTAAGCCATCATTATTGTGTGTGTGTGTGTGTGTGTGTGTGTGTGTGTGTGTGTGTGTGTGTTAAATTCCTTCAACCAATGGCTGCATATTTGTTACAGAATAAGAAAAAATTCATTTTGCCTATCATTTTGAAGACAATGTGACTTCTGTCATGCACCTACAAAACACTTCTAAAGTTCATCAGACCTATACTAATCTTATGTCAACCTATTTTAGTAAAGGAGACTTTGACAAGAATTTCCTTCGGTAGCATACAGTATTTTACAGTTAGTCATAAGCTCTCACCACTAGCTTTGACAGTGATATATTGCTATCCTTTGGTTTCTTGAAATAAATTATCTATAATAAAGAGGTCTTTAATGACATCAACATCCCTACTGTGACTAAGCAGACGTGTGCTCCTGTATTTTGCTACTGCAGAATTATAAGCTTAGTATTTTTAAGGTAAAGAAAAAGTGCCATAAGCAAAGAGAGATGAATATTGTGCTGTATGGGTGGCATCTTTCACTTGTATGCACCAGCATTGGAGATAATAAAATTTCTTGTTTTGTGGGAAAAAAAAAAGATCTTCACAAACAAATAAGAGAGATGCAAAATAATTTTCTGCTCTCATTTAATCCCACAGATTTAGCCACCAGCATATCAGATCAACTCAGGGGCACTAATACTTGTAACTTTCTTCACAATCTTTATCATATTTCTTGGCAATTTTTGTGTTAATAATCTTGCTTATGTTTATATTCCTACTAGTCTGCAGAATCATCCAGTGAGAACTCCATGCAACAGCTGTCCAGTTCTACAGACTCCAATTAATAAAGAAAAAGAGGGAGGTGTGAGGAGCAACAAAATCTGAGCTGAACAATGATGACCTTTGAAGGTGAGCAGAGCACAAATTTGTTCTCTTGGGGTGATGCTGCACAGCTGGCAGAGGGAAAAGGAAACTCTTGCTTAGCCATAGAAGGCCAGGTGTGGCTTATTTAGAACCATAAGCCACAAATGCTTCACAGCTGCCTTGGACAATAGAAAACACCTGGCTTTATCTTCTGCTACTTTCTGGCTAAAAAGAAACCTGGGAATGGCTCAGTGCCATGGTGATCTCCATCAGAGGTGGTCAGACTGCCTGATCCCCACTTTTCTCTACCGTGTGTCTCTGGCTGTTCTTTCTACATCCACCGCCAGTTCCAGTCGAGGGCCTCATCCACACTTTGCAGGCTGAGGCAATTCCACTCTTAGGTATTTACTCAAAGGATAGGAAAACCCTCAGTCAGAAAATCACTTGCACTTCCATGTTCATTGCTGCATTATTTACAATTGCTAGGACATGGAATCAACCCAAATGTCCAAAAATAGATAAATAGGTTGAAAAATATGGCATAAGTACTGTATGGAATACTATTAGGTCATAAAAAACAAGAGCCTGTTATTTGTTAGAAAGTGGATGAATATGGAAGACCTAGTGCTAAGTGAAGCAAGCC